TCGTCAAGTCTGCGCGCGAGACGATTCGTAATGACTCTCGAAAACAGCACGTAGACGCGGCTCAGAAGGGAAATCGGTATGTAGCTCTTCAAGAGAGCGGTGTCGGTTTTCTTGAAGAACAAGACCACCGCACTTCTGCTCCACGCCTCCGATGTAATGCCACCATGGAGGACGGAATTAAATAGCTTCTGAAGGACTTCAAGTACCGGTTTTCCACCCGCTTTCAGAAGCTCCGCTGCAATTCCATCCTCGCCTGGGGCCTTGCCGTTTTTAAGGTGCTGAAGAGCCATTCTAATCTCGCTCAGACTGACGTCCGAAATATCATCGGAATAATGTCGGATAAGACTCGCTGTTGGATCGTTACTCACACTTGCGTGTGGCTCCAATGATGACGTGTACAGCTGCCCATAGAACCGCTCAATCTCACTCAAAATCTCAGGTGCCCCGGAAACGATGCTGCCACATTCGGTCTTCAACTTTGACAGTTGGCTCTTTGTGGCAGACAGATCTCTGGCTAAGACTTTGGAGCCTTGATTCCGCTCGATCGCTTCTTCAATACGAGCTGTATTGAAGTTGCGTAAGTCCCGCCGCATGCATTTGGAGATCTGTCTGTTCAGTTGCCTGTATGCTGTCAAATCTGTTGAAGAATGTAGCTTCATCTCCCGTCTAACAACCATGAGATTAAGAGTGTGATCGGAGAGTTTTTGTGTTCTTCTGCAGCGGGTCTTGCAGAACTTAGCTCCGACCGCATGGACAGTTTCCACGCCGCCGGTGACTGGGGTATTTGCCATAGTTGCCACGCTTGGCGAGCGGGTTGGCAACCGCAGTTTTTTTATTGTATTTTTGCTGTTATCAGGAAGATGCTGCTGCCCATCTCCTGCCTGTTTCCCTTTGTCGCCTTTTACGACACCCACGGGAAGTTATGGGGCAGTGGATATTCTTAACCGCCACTACACGGCAACGGCAATATGTATAATACCAGCCAAAACAGCACACTGCTATAAAAGATTAAGTAATTAATATACCTGACTAGATTTATTGCAGCGTAATTTTCCAAAAAAATATCAATTCGATGAAAAATTTGAAATAGATTTACATATAAAACGTAGCGGTTATAATTATACCTTTGAGTGTCATGTTACGCAATTTTATTTACAATTTACGCGGTTTTTTTATGAGATTTTTACGTTTATATACGTACAGAAAGCTCATTCTTATTATTCTGCTTAAATATACCATTGAATTAAAGTTCTTACGTACCTCGTTACGCGTAAATATTTTATAATATGTATAAACATAACTGTTACCTACCGTTACAGCCTATTAAAGTCCACTGCTGAACATAGACCTCCCCAATAGATTGCCTCATTGGGGGATATTTGCCATAGTTGTCACGTTTGGTAAGCGGGTTGGTAACCGCAGTTTTTTTTAAGTCCATATTAGGAAGACGCTGCTGACCATCACCTGATTATCTGCCTCTGTGGCCTCTTACGACACCCACGAGATAATATGTAGCAGTGGATATTCTTACACCGCCACTACACAGCAAATAACCACAACATACATAAATAAACATAACATAAACAATTAATCCGGCGACCATGGTGCTTCCATGGGTTCGAGCTTTAGAAGTATTTGATTGAATTTGTCCTATAAATCGTTTGATAGGTATTATCAAGATGTTATTGTTTATTTTATTTGCCGATTGAAGTTGTCGAAGAAACTGAAACCAAAAGTGTAAAAGTGAAACCACATGTTGCACATAAAACGGTAAAGAAATTTAAAACGAAAATCTGCCTTTTTATTTTCATTTATTTTATTTTGGTTTATCTGTAAAGGTCGTAACTTTAAATCTAAAATACCAAGAATTAAAGCAAGTGGCTGCGAGTGTATATTGTGTAATAATTACATTAGTAGTTATATTACACTAGAAACTATGCGCTTATTTGCGTCGGTCGCAAGGCTGGGTGCTCTTTGTAGTTTATTTGCGTGTGTCGCGAGTCGCTGCGGGCGTTCACACGGTCTCAGTGTTGCCAGCTAATTTCTCCCCTGATTACCACAACCAGGCTGGAAAAATGCTTGCCATTTAAAAAATTTCACTCAAAATAGCAAAGTAAAGAAGTCGGCTTGTTAAATTAATTAATGTTAACTCGCTGTTGCGAGTTAATTAACTCGTTTTCGGTTGTAAGAATGAAGGTTCAAAAGAAATATTATGGTAATTACGCTCCTTGTATAACGTAACAGGCTGTTGCCGCGAAGTTTATTTTATTTAAAACTTAATGCTACAGATGTATAAATAATAGTATTATAATAACAACTGCCCTTTGTAAATCTATTGCTCTTATCTGATATAAAACTTCTGCTATGAAGCAAGAGTTCAGGTACAGTGCCAGAAAACAGGGAAAGAAATACAATATCAGAAAAATGTTATATCACCATCATCATTCGAGCGCAATCGGTTAACAGCTGGACACGGCTAACTTTTCCAGTTAGGAAGAAGAATACATGCTTGGCAAGAGGATTAGAAATCGCAATGCCACATATTTATACCTCTGTCTCTTTTTATTGCCGGTTGACTGAATATTTCAATAGCTATACGAGATAGCTATTCCACCATCTGTCGGAGCCACTACAAAATCTTCTTGGTATATCCCTTAGTCATCGCAACTCCCTAGAAGTATTGTGTTCGAATTACAATCATTTCGGCTAAAAAAAGCTTTGAAACAGTTATCAAGACAGGCTTTTAATATTAATTTTGAAATATGAACCTGGTAACATTGTTAGGAACGTGTACATATTCCGTGGTATACACATTGAACGCGCCAGCGCCGCCTGCGCTATTTCCGCACAAATACCGATCCCGCGCTGATAGTGTTCGCGGTGCTTGCAACCCGCTCATGCACGCTCACAAATTACCAGTACTTCATTTTTTACCCTTTGCGACATATTTCGATTTGTATCTGCCATATTATTGTACACATTCTTCTTTCGTTGTAGTACTTAACACTTTCACTGTCCGATTTTCAGACTCAATAGTAAGACAATAATATATTCTATCTCTTTTCTTTTTTATACTATTATGAGCTAGTTCTTGACTACTGTTCCACCGGATGGTAAGTGGTGATGCAGCTGAAGATGGTGAAGCGCACCGACTTAGCTTCTCGCTAGCAATCGAGAGAAAAATCTCATTCTTTCCATTGTTGGCCATAATAACGTTTTCACTTTACTTTTGTCTTATTATAAAAATGTTTCTTTTTGTAAATTTTTTCAAGGGAGTATAGAGATTGATAAGGAAATGGAATAACATATCTTAGAGCTCGTTCTCATTTTCTTCTTCTTCAATTTCAAAGTCCATTATCATTATAAAGTTATGAGCTACCACGGCTCTCCGGAAAAACCAAACCTAAAAGAAACCTGCGTCCAGCAATGGGACTTATACTTTGCTTAAGTAATACATAACGTTAAAAATGTCTTTCTACGCAGATGTTATTTATATATAAAGGTGACAAGCGAGCACACAGTTCGCATGATGCTAAGTGCTTGGTGTGGCCCATAGACATCTACATCTATCCTCGATTACGAATCATGACGGCTTCGTGGCGCAGTGGCTTAGCAATGAGTTGTTGCGCCGGGGCCGCGGTTTCGAATCCCGCACGGAACAAGATATTTGTATGGCCTACGAATAATTGTTCCGGGTCTGGATGTTTATCCTCGTGCAATTTATGTTTGTAAACTGCCTCCACGATACAGGATAAAATCCTAGTGTGGGGGTAACATTTTAAAGAAGAAAAAAAATATGCAGATATATATAACCTTGAGGACTAAGATGCAACGCCTCGTTTCCAGTAAAAGGGGTCTCCGGTTCTCTACACTCAACATACAAAACACAGCAGTGTTAAGCTGCTATTTTACGCTGGTATTATGTGAGAGCGAGGTTTTTCCCGGTCGAGCCGACAGCTCCGCGATGTTAGCATCTCATGTGCGGAATTTCGATTTACCAATTATACCATCTGAAAGGTTAGAAATTAGTTTAAAATAGGTCAGTTGATCTTATTGATTGATCAGCGTTAGAAACATTTGTATTAAGGGTTAAATTTTTTAAGTTCGTTGAGAATTAATAATAACTAAACAAAACAAAATTTAGCTGCCATTTACATTCCATGACTTTCCACATGATAGATGAAAGTTTTAAAAATAGATTAAGTTGAACAATTGATATTTTCAAAAGTTATCGTGTTTACGACACCATGTGGACTTGATAAACCTACACCACCAAAGAGGTGTGCGTAAGTGCTCACTGCCCTGATACAATTAACCGTCCCAAAGCATGCGCGTTACGACAATGCCAACTTATTTAATTTTTTAAATATTGAATTAAACGGACCAAATATTTATAAAAGCTGACCAATTATCAGCGAATGCTTCCCGATCCTTCGCGAATTTTTTATTTTTTTCGCGCACGAGGTGCTAAAACTTCTCAATGACCTTGAAAAACTTTAAACCTTAATAAAATGTTCCTATCGCTGACCAATTAATAAGATCAACTGACCTTTTATGACTAATTTCTGACCTTCCAGATGGTATAATTGGTAAATCGAAATTCCATACATGATCTGCTAATATCGCGGAGCTCGAGCCGACCTATTCGTGCTACAACTATACAACTAAGATAGCTGCAGTATGGCTCTACCACGTACAAAAGTCAAAGTTACAGCCTATATACATCCCAATGCTGGGCACGGGCCTCCTCTATTCTATTGATCATTTATCACACATAAATTGGGAAAGCATAATTACCTTAGTTAACCGACAATTGAAAGCATTGTGGCGTTTTAGCATGCATTTAAACTAACCTATATACTGCACAAATTTTATATTAACACCGCATAATATAGAACATTTAAATTATCAGAAGAAGGAAGAAAGCAAAAGAGGAAAATATAATAATATATTATTTTTCATCGGCGTTTATTTTAATATAAATATTTACTTGTCGACAGGTGCGACAAGAATGCGGGTCTCCAACAACGATAGATATTTCTGGTCTCACAGCACCGACTCCAACACCTGGAGCAGCCAGGCGTGATGCTTTACGAGCTCCCCCTCCTGACACTGAGCTCCTACAATTTGCTGCTACCCTGGCTGCTAGTAAGAAAATCTTCTCAAGCTTAGCTGATAAGCTATGCGATGAACCTGACTTTGCAAATGAAGGGAATTCAGAATGTTGGAATGGCGAATCGGTTGGAGAGTAAGTAGCAAATACACTCTTAACAGTAGCTTACTTTTACAACTTCACTTATTAATTATATTTAAAAAAAAAGCCAAACACAGTCATAATTGAATATGCTTAAAATTTACATGGAGCTAACGTATAACTTAACTTAAAAAGTATGTCCTTTTTATCAATTTAACACGTCATGGATCCAGTTAATAACTTCCTTTCTTCCTTATCTTTCGAAGTCGGTTAAAAAGTACTGAGAAATGAGAAACTTACTTCGTTAACTTTTTATATGCCGTCTGGGACTATTAAAAATCTATAATATAACTCACTGGAGTAAATATTTAAAATAATCTAATTTCTTCTCTAAGCAGTTTTAAACTACATTATAAAGGAAGCACTTAAAATAATCAAGTAGCAATGTTTTGTGAAAGTAAATAATTTTTGTGACTTATCCAGGTACACAAAATCACTAGTGGCTTCAGCATCGATCAGCGATCAAAAATACAATCCCGAGATTACTGCAGGCTCGAAGCAGGACTTAAGGGTAGCCGCCCTAGGAGACAAACTGCGACAGGCTAGACAAGTGAGTACCTACAAAAAAAATTGTCGTAAAATTTATTGCATTTATCAGCTTAACTAACTTACAAAGAGATTTACTAAGGAGCTTAGAACAATTATGCACGTTTCACTACTGTGTATTGCACATAGTAGTTTATTAAAAGTATAGTATTGATGATTAAAAACAAAACCTAATTTCATCGCTATTCACGCTGGCTTTAATAAGATAACTGGATATCACATTACTTGAGTGAATATCATATAATCATTTAATATCATGTTTTACATCAACGAGGTAATAAATTACTTTTTTGTGCTGAGCAATGTAATGATAATAAATCGGAAACCAGTTCGCAAATACATCCTTAGAACTATCTACGAGTAACGGAGCTGCATGACACGTCACTATTAAATATGTTAATAAATTTTGGCTTTTTGTTGTAGTCTTAACAATTTTATTGGAAGGGAAGAATTAATATGCATAAAGTATTGTTAGATCGTCACCTGATATTTCGTTCAGAGTAATTGTATGTTATACTAGCTATCCGTCCCGGCTTAGCAAGGTGATTCATGGATCTCGACAATAGAACTAATTGTGAATCCATCCAGGTACCCGCTCAAACACACATATATATATATATATATATATATATATATTTACTCCTAAACTACTGAACTGATTTCAATGAAATTTTGCACACTGTGTGCAGTTTGGTCCAACTTGAGAGTTAGGATAGTTTTTATCCCGATAAGTGACCCTCAATTTTTTTTATTGCTAATTTCAGGAGTTTCTTTTTGGGAAAGAAAATGGTCGTCCGGAAAGGGCAGAACACGTCTGCGTGGTCAGCTATATATATATATATATATATATCTTCTTAATTGTTTAGTGAAAAGAATATCTGCCATAGTCACTACGCTTGGTAGGCCCGGACAACCGCAGTTTTTTATTGTCTATTTGTTATTAAGAAGACGCTGCTGCCCTCTGTCGCCTCTTACGACCACGATACGATATGGAGTAGTGGATAATATGGGATGGCGAATACTATAAATTAATACAATTAATTAATTAGATCTAGTTTATAATATACCTTTGTAGCTTGAAATCCTCGATATAATAATAAGGCAATATAGAATTGATGAATCATTAAAAAAGTATTCCTACGAGTTTAATATTTAAATATTCAAAGTGAAAAGATCCTTTACCTAGTAACATTGCCTCTTTGAATAGTTGTCGTTTTTAGAGAGAGATCACTAGTTAAAAGGATTGATTCACCTTTTCAATCATTCTTTAAGCTCTCGAAGGAATGTAATACTTGGTGTATCAAGGTGTCAGACAAATTGTAACAAAGACCCAATATGCCGGTTTCGTATTTTTCATATTTTTGCATTGTATAATGACTATTATAAATGGTATTGCTCGCATGGAACGGCCACGCTCTCACAGAATGACAGCGTATAATATTTCGTTAACGCTGCTGTGATACGTATATGAATGTAGAGAAACAAAGACCCTTTTCTACCGACTTCAAAAAGAGACGGTACTCAATTCGACTGTATGTTTTTCATGTGTGTTACCTCATAAATTTTTACTGGGTGAACCGATTACGATGATTCTTTTCTTATTTGAAAGCTGGTGCTTCATATGTGGTGCCATATAAATCAAGATCTGACCAATTGTTTTTGAGTTATTATTAATAATCTATATTGAAGCCGGCTGTACAAAATTTTTAATTTTAAATTATAATACTAACGAGACATTAGATTTTAGTCTTCCCACGGCAACGTTTCTGCATTTTCATTTCGAGGATAGATTTGGGTATCTATGGACCACAAAATCTACTTACCATCATAGTTAGGATATAATAATTTAAAATAAAATATTTTGTACAGCCGACTTAAATATAAGTTATTAAGAATAACTCAAATAACTCAAAAACTATTGTTCTGACCTTAATCAAATTCATATGGGATCACACGAGAAGTATCAGCTTTCATATAAAAAAAGAATCATCGAAATCGGTCCACCCAGTAAAAAGTTATGAGGTAACACATATAAAAAAAAAAAAAACATACGCGTGGAATTGAGTACCGTCTCCTTTTTGGAAGTCGGCAGAAAATACTTCTTATTCTTTTCTTGTTCCGAACTTCACGAGTAGCAACTTCGTAACGTTAAGCAAAGTTTAGGGTGACCCAATCACTAAAAGAAGTGACGAACTGGTAAGAGATGCAGGAAATTGATGGACGCAGGTGTCTCAGGATCGTGTTTATTCTCAGCCTATGTACACTAGTGGACTTGTAAAGGTCTGTAATGATGATAGTAATGATGATGATACTAAAATTACTTTGTTTTGTTAGTTGCTGGTCTCCCACTCATGGGGAAGTGCTCCAGCGGCAGAAGCGTTCATGCAAGGTGACGAGGCCGGCGATGAAGGGTCAGGCTCGGGCCGAAGCTATACAGACGACGATGCAGCTTATGACGCTGAGGGCTCTGGTGAGGAAGGCTCTGGAGAAGAGGATGTTGGTGCGTATAAAAAAGTTATTCTCCATACATAATTCTTATTTACTTTTTATTACAAATTCATAGAATGCCAGCTTGGAAGAACAGCATCATGTTGCTGTGTTTCGTATGGTGTTGGTGGGTTACGAGAATCCTTAGTCCTCATGGATGCATTCGCACCTGCATTTTGATTCGGAATCGAGGATAGATGTGAGTGTCTATGGGCCTTAGCATCTGTTTATGATGTGATCTGGGTGCACGTTTACCAGCCTTACTACTGTAAAAAAGACGCAGCGCAACCTGCTTACTGCAGACGAGGTTCTGACACAAAATAATGGCGGGTAACCAATTTAAATATTATAATTATTAAAAACGAGTCGTGGTAGCGCTCGCTGTTAATTTCACAGTATGCGAGCAACCCGGGTTCGATCCCTAATGGCGCTAATGAAATTGTTAATTGCAATTTTAAGTGCTGATTTACCACGTACTCGGCGGTGAAGGAGAACATCGCGTGAAAACCTGTATGTCTGAGAAATTAATAAAAATATATATATATTGAAAACATGTGAAGTTCGCCAACACGCTCTGGAGCAGCTCGGCGGACACTTACTTGCCCTATCTCTCAGAAAAGAGAGGAGGCATGTTACCAGCAGTGGGACGTATATAGGACGTAATTTTAACTTTAACTTTAATTAATTTAAGTATAGTAACAGCCTACATACAAGTACGTCCCACCGCTGGGCACTGACCTTCTCTTGGATACAAATCCTTCGAACTGGTGATGATAAACATTATTAAAATTGCGACGATATCAAATCTGGCGCTTCTTAATCCTTCTAAGGTCCAGAATACTTAACGTGTAACACGTTAAATATTCTGTGGTATGGTCAGGTTTTCCAAGAATATGTTATAGCGCCCTCTTGATAAGTGCTATAAGCGGACGCTAAAAGCCGATTGAGAAACCTTTATACGGCTTTAGATTAATCGGCATACTTATCGTGTTTGCTTCAAGTATAATATTCTTGAGCAGTGAAAGCAGCAACTGCAACAACAAGTTCTTTTAAACTTCGAAATATGTTTTCTAATAACGAAAATGTTTCGGAAACATTGTTCAGCGTACCAATACGAATTTAATATAGTTTTATAAAAGTTTAAATTCTGTAAATTATGTGCTAATAATAATTAGGATAATAATTAAAAATCCTTCTTCAGTAACTATATCAAAACCAAAAGAGAGGGATCTTCGCAGATCGATCTATAGCGGAACCTAAAATAAAGCGTGATAGCTCACTGGAGTCTCGCCTCAAATAACACAGTACCCGAGTAAACATAGTTCGAACCCTGCCAGCTCTATTGATGTAATAATTGCAATAAACTGTTAATTGAAGTCTACCGTAATAAGTCCGCCAGTCAATTGAAACATTCGGGGTAAATTCTTCTTAAAATTGGTGAGACTCACATCTTGGCGTGGACTGACATGAGCTTATAAAAAATAAAGGTAGACAATATCTTTATTTTTTATTGAAAACAAAATACCTTTACAAACCATTGACTAATATATTTTTTTATTTCAACAGGAAGCAGAACATATGTACACGAAGACAATTCGTACTCGTCGACGGAAAAGACATCTACCGCGGCCACTAAGTCGCGACCTCTGCTCCCAGTCACGTTTGCTGTAGCCGTGTTCGCGCGTCTCGTCAGCTGCCTCACTTAATCACGCCACTGAGGCCCTTTGACCCCTGTGACCCTATTTCTGGACTAATCGAGTGCACCACAACTGAGCCGTGTGCAAGTCCCCATATCATTTCTGTGCAGTGATGTGTGTTTCGGATGTTCTTCGACTTCAGTAGCTGTGCGACTTAAAAGACATATGACAAATTCCCAGTTAGTTAGTGATGAAATTTTTAATGAACCTGTAGTTTAAGCCCTACAGTAGCTAGTCCCAAAACTAGTGTTAGCTCGACACAAGCTTTCTTGTTTACATCGTAATGTAGGGTTTGTAATCGAATCTCTTATTTAATGCAAAGAACAACGCTTGGATATCTATATCATACTAAAGTCTGCAATTGTACAGTGCATATCATGTGTTTTCTATATATTTTTTGTACATATATTTCTAAATTTATGTAGTCATAGTTGAATATATACTTCGTAACAGAAGCTATTACTTCTGCATTTAATTACGTTGTGAAAATATTGTCGAAATAATACGATATTATTATTTAAAGAATCTTTAATAATTGTTAAATTATAGCAGATTGGCAATAATATTATGAAAAAAGTATAAAGTTTAGTCGAAAGTGATAAAGATTTAATAAAGGTCGACTGTACAGATATGTAAATACCTAAAATCCTACTGGTCTAGGTGCATAGCTAGGAAACATGTTTTGTTGCCATATTAATGTTACGAATATTTTAATTTATGATTATTAATTAAGTCATAATTTAATCAAATAATGTTATGTGATACAGAATTAGTATTTTAAGTTAATGTGACGTTCTTTATGTCCCATATATATTGTAATATTATTCTTTGGAAGAGTTATTGTGTACTATAATCTATTTCATTAAATTAATGGCAATAAATATTTGTAGTGCATTATTTTATATATTTCTAAAGGGCCTATATCAAAATGTGTTGGCAAAATATGCTGATATAATATTCCTTAACATCAGAAAATAAAAAGATTTCCTTTTAAAAATTAAATGTAATGAATTCTCCTGCTATATAAATTATGTCAAGTGAAAGGAAGTTGTATTGTAATATTAAAAAAAAAATCTTTAAATTTGTTAGCACGTTTTGAATTTATTTCTGTGTCCCTTTATTAGTACATCTATATTTACTAATTTTTCTTTTTTGTTTTATAAGTAACTTAACAGTCAATTACATCTCCTTTTATAATATAGCCCGACTGGAAACTCAAATTAATAATAATAATGAGTATTAAAACTATTAAAATACTTCATGCATTCTGCAAAGTATGCACTATCCTTCAATGACAAAAAGAACACAACATTTTAGGTACTGTTATATACTTGTGTTTGTAGATGTCTGCAAATAAATCGATTTGTTTAAAAATGTAAAATATATAGATATAATAAACGAATAATATTTAACTATTTGTGCTTTATAATGTAGAAAGCCATCATTTAATGATGAGCTTAAATTGTATTGTAAATTTATTGGATTACTATAGTGATTATCATTATTGTTAACTCTCCAAAACGTTATTTAGTAATTCTATATGTTAAAAGAAGTTTCTCATGAATGCGCTTCAAAGGAAGATATCAACCAATTAAAGTTCTTGAATGCACAATCTCGAAAATATTATGTATCTTTTTAGTTCATCGGATATCTGTTATAATTTTATATGTATTGTTTCAACGTTACACGAACTCTATTATTTGTAATAAAAATACTCAACTTAATGCAAGTTGTTCAAGAAAATAAATCAATTTGGAAATATTGCCCAAAAACAAAGACAAAAAAAATTATGCATATTATTAGATGATATTATTAGACATTGAATAAAATTAATTTTACGGATTATCCGTAAAATTAATAGCGTTTGATTTGACTTATTTTTACTTATTTTAATCGTTGGGAATGAATAAGTGAAAATGAGTCGAATCAATACGCGATACACTCCGTTAAATTAGATTCATTCAATGCACGCGAATATGTTGCGAAATAAGTGCTGTATTGATTTGCGTCCACCCTAATGGCTGATGGACACCGCAAATGCCCGATTTCTTTAGGTTTTGCTCATCGTTACGATAGCGCCTGTAAAATGGTTTTAATAACAAACTATTCGCATAACAACTTACGTTGAATATAATTATAACTTTAAGCCGTCATATGTAACTGAAACAGTATTTTGTTTTCTTTTTTTTTTTTTGGCCACTTTGAATATAAAAAAAACATTTTTAAATTAAGAAAACCAGGCATCCGTCGATCGCAAATTGTTTTAATAATGATTAATTACTTTGATACATTACTCTTAGACAAAGCCAACTTCTTTCTCGCCGGTAAGTTAACAAGAAATGTATCTTGAACGATTTGTAAATATTATTGGACAGATAGTGTGTTTATATTATGGAAATAAACTCTGTACCATATTCCGATTGTTTTAATTTGAGATCCACTAAGGTAGACACTAATCTATTTTAATAGAATAATGGTGACAAACGAGCAAACAGTCTAACTGATGGAAAGTAGGTGCTGTGACTTATAGACATCTACTTCTATCCTCGATTAGGAATCAAAATGCAGATGCGTTGTCACCCCAGACACAGCGGTGACACTCTCTGTACGTGAGAGTTGAAGCGCCGGTGACATTAGGCCGGAGCGTGTAACGCTAGGGTTGATACCGAACCGAAATGGAATATTATAGACTTGTGCCAAAGAAGATACATAGTAGGTATATGTTATATAATGTAAACTTATGTATTTAGATAGTGAAGGATACGATCAATTTTAAATCAACTTTTATTAAATATCTTTACAGATGGGGAAAATTAAAATTTCCGACAAAACAAAATATGCACGACAGTTAATGGTAATCTTAGATAATAATTAACCAACACTTATTATTTCAGTACGCAATAATCAGTATTACCTACTACCCTTTAAAAATTACTTACTCTTATATATTTTTGGCTTTTTCGATGACTTTTATGATTTTTATTATTAATTCTAACAATCGAAAAAATTCGTAGCCGCATGCATAGTTTTTTTAGAAAATCCATAGGGAAGCAAAGATAGATAGATAGATAGATAGATAACACTTAAATAAATGTGGTACAATGGGTGGTCTTATTGCTGAGAGCAATCTCTTCCAGACAACCTTTGGACGGACAGGTTTGCAAGAAAACAATAAAAACGTGTGTGGTTTGGCGACAAAAATAACATTGTTTTTATTAAAGCCGTAAAATAGAAATACAGAATGGTATATAAGTACATAGATAAGATAAATACAAACATACATATTAATATGTATGTATTATATATATATATATATATAAAATTACAAATATATACTTTACAACTATTATACGAATATATAACATAAATGTGCCATACATATAAATAAATATTGTAACTAAATAGAGGTAGAATAATTATATACAAAGGAATAGGCATTATTTTTGTATAAAGCGCAGCCCTCAGCCAGGGCAGTCGGCGACGGCCCGTTCCACGCCCCGCGCGCCTCTTAAGGCGCCCACACACATCCACACACATACACAAAGCCCCAAGTGATTTTACGTGCACACATGCTTAAATGTCGTTTCTTTTCGCGTAGTGTATATATTCTTTGCCCCAGAGGACTAAAATGGAATGGCTGCTTTTTCTAGTATAAAGGGTCTCCGGTTTACTACACTACACTGAACTGCTATTTCAGGCTGGTATTCTGTGAGAGCATGGACCTTCCCCGGTCGAGCCAAGGCATTCGTGCTACAACTTTAACATAGTTGCAGCCAACATATCCTGTATGCAATGTATAATCAAATGTATATTATGACCAGTGGCAGATTAACCTCAAGGCAAACTAGGCACATGCCTAGCGGCGCAAGGTCAAAACGGGCGCGTGCAGAAAACTTTAGACAAAAAAAAAATTCGCCGAACTGGTTCCTCCTACATCGCCCCCACTCTCTCATCACATTTTTCATTCACGCTCACCTGCTTTCATGCACGGCACCACCACAGTTTACGACTCGTACGGCTTCTTTGATAGTTAAGCTTAAGTTAGTTTATGACGATAGTACGTCAGTATGAGTGGCATATAAATTAACGTACACGACTACCCCAGGAGGCTACCAGCACCCCTAGAGAATCCACGACCATGTTATTCCACTCCTGAGCGTGGGTGCTCAGGCTGCCCCGCGTATTCTGGGGGTGGGGGGGGGGGGGGTTGGGCAAAATTCCGCTCAAAAATATAAGTGCTCGGGGAAAACTCACCAACAATACCAAGGCGACCCCCGCCACGCTATCCGTGAATTTTGCAACATCAGCGGACTTCACTCGAAACTAAACGCCGTTCACTACCATCTCGAGACGGTGAAGCCGGCCTTGCTCTTTCTGACCGAGACGCAGGTGTCCTCTCCGGCTGATACATCGTATCTGTCCTACCCGGGATACAAATTGAAGCACCCCATTGTGCCTCTGGCTGGAGTTTGCGTGTACATCAGAGAGGACATCTGTTCTCGACGCCACGGCAGTCTTGAAGGTTCGGACCTGTCCATCCTTTGGCTACGCGTAGACAGGGACGACCATCCGCGCGTCTATGGGTGCCTCTATAGGTCCCATAGCGGTAATGCCGAAACAGACCGACTCATCGACCACGTCCAAATGGCTACAGATTCCTTGCTACAACAGGTCCCATCCGCAGAGATCGTGATCCTTGGCGATTTTAACGACCACCATGCCAAATGGCTTGGTTCACGTTTAACCGATCATGCGGGGAGATCTGTTTATGACTTTGCCTTGGCATATGGTCTGACACAACTGGTTACTTCGCCTACGCGGATTCCAGATGTGAAGGATCATACACCTTCCCTGTTGGACCTTCTGCTGACCTCTCATCGGGACGGATATCAGGTTTCCGTCGATGCCCCTCTCGGCTCTTCGGACAGTGTGGTGCCACTCACGCTCCTCTCGCGGTTGCGTTTTGCAGGTTGCCGCCGTGTTTGGCATTACAGGTCGGCGGATTGGGACGGAATGCGGTCTTTCTTTGCATCCTACCCATGGGTTTGCTTCTCGCCGGATGGTCCCAGCACTGTTGCTGATTCTGTCACTGATGTGGTGCTACAGGGTATGGAACTATTTATTCCATCATCTGTGGTACCCATCGGAGGCAGATCTCAGCCTTGGTTTGGTCGCTCCTGTAAGACTGCATTACGCAGTAAGCAGAGGTGTTATCAAGCCTAGGCTGCGGCTTCGGCGACTCGGGATGTAAACACCAGCACACTTAAAAAGAAGTATAACTTCGCCTCCAGGTCCTTCAAAAGAGTTATTGTCAAAGCAAAGTCAGTGCACATAGGCAGAATTGGCGAGAAACTAGTTCGCCTTCCTTCGGGAACCCGTGCATTCTGGTCTCTCGCCAAGGCTGTCCAAGGGAATTTCTGTAAGCCATCACTATCATCTCTGCACAGGGAGGACGACTCACTGGCCCAAGCCGCAAAAGACAAAGCCGACCTTTTAGGCTCCCTTTTTGCGTCCAACTCGACTCTTGATGACGAGGAACAACACCGCCGACCATTCCGCGGTGTGAGTGCTCCTTGACGGATGTGCTGTTCTCACAGCGCTCGGTTGCAAAGCACTCCTCTCCCTGGACATCCAGAAGTCAAGTGGGCCTGACGGAATCCCCCCCAATTGTGCTGAGGACGTGTGCTCCGGAGTTGGCACCGGTCCTAACGCGTCTTTTCCGGTACTCCTACTCCCAAGGCGTAGTCCCGAATTTATGGAAGACAGCTTTTGTCCACCCGATCCCTAAAAAAGGCGACCGCTCAGACCCGTCCAACTAGGCCTATGCCTATCGCCATCACCTCGTTGTTCTCCAAAATAATGGAATCCATTATTAACTGCCAGCTCATGCGGTACCTTGAGGATCACCAGCTGATTAGTGACCGCCAATACGGTTTTCGTCGGGTTTGATCAGCTGGTTAACTTCTTGTCTACCTGACCCATAGATGGGTGGAGGCAGTAGAGTCCAAGGGGGAGGCGTTGGCCGTTAGTATGGACATTGCGAAGGCCTTCGATCGGGTTTGGCACAAAGCGCTTCTTTCGAAGCTCCCTTCCTATGGGCTTCCCGAAAAATTTTGCAATTGGATCACCAGCTTCTTTGCAGATCGGAGCATCAAGGTCGTTGTAGACGGTGCATGCTCCGACTACAAACCTATTAACGCTGCTGTTCCACAAGGCTGTGTGCTATCACCAACGCTGTTTCTTCTGCATATCAATGATATGTTGCTAACTGGTAACATTCATTGATATGCGGATGACAGCACTGGTGATGCTTTATACACCTGCCGTGCCAATATTTCTCGGGAAAACGTCGCTGAGTACCGGAACAAACTTGTGTCTGAAGTCGAGTCTTTGCTGAACAAAGTCTCGGATTGGGGGCGACTAAATTTAGTCCAGTTTAATCCTCAGCAGATACAAGTTTGCGCGTTTACCGCTAAACAGAACCCCTTTGTCGTATCTCCTCAGTTTCAAGTCACTCCCATTCTTTCCTCAGCCAGTATCGGAATCCTCGGAGTCGACATATCGAGTAACGTGCAGTTTCGTGGTCACTTGGAAGAGAAGGCCAAATTGGCCTCTAAAAAGCTTGGCGTGCTCAGCAGAGCGGGACAGTATTTCATGCCGGCACACCGCCTGTAACTTTACAAGGCGCAGGTTCGGCCTCACATGGAATACTGTTCCCATCTCTGGGCAGGGGCGCCCCAGTGCCAGCTCCTTCCACTTGACCGCATCCAGGGCAGAGCGGCTCGAATCGTCGACGACCGAGTCCTTTCCGATCGGATTCGTTGGCACTGCGAAGAGATGTTGCATCCCTTTGCATTTTCTTTCGCATCTACCACGGGGAGTGCTCTGTGGAATTGTTCGGATTAATCCCAACCGCCAAATTTCATGAACGCACATCGCGGCAGAACTCTCGATACCATCCACACCATCTGTATGATTGGCGGTCCACCACTGTGCGATTTAAAAGATGTTTTCTTCCTCGCACGACTTCCTTGTGGAATCTATTGCCATCAGCGATTTTTCCGGACCGATACGACTTAGAGACCTTCAAGAAAAGAGCCTACTCCTTTTTAAAAGGCCGGCAACGCATCTGCAATTCCCCTGGTGTTGCGGTTGTTCATGGGCGGTGGTAGACACTTACCATCAGGTGAGCTGCATGCTCGTTTGCCCCCTCTCCTAAAAAAAAATGACGTGTTGTTAATTTAGCAGTTTATTACACACACTGAGTTTAATTAGAAAATAGTGCCGGCGGTCCGAACGTGGTTCGAGGTAGAGCCAAGCTGCAGCTATATTAATAGTATAATAAAAATTTTTTAGGCCCTTTTTACTGGAAATGAGGCATTCCATCTTAGTCCTCACGGTTGACAACGCATC